GTACTGTTGTACTAGTTGTTACTTCTAGAAGTTATACATAAACTTTAGACATTTTAAAATTGTATTCGTTATTTTATTTTTGTAGAAGCATAAAACTTATTAAAAGTCAAGAACCTGACGTTATAACTACACTGTTCCTACCTCGGTGTTTGCTCTTAAAGTAAAAAGTTTCAAGATAAAAATGAATGAAAATATTGTGAGTCATAGTCAAGATGCTTGTTTTAAGACCTAGTAACTTAGTGTGATATGTGTAATATATATATATATATATATACTTATTTATATATAGCTGTATAGCTTTAATCTGTATTTTACTGTAGGTTATGTTGTATAATAATTGCATAGGGACAAGGGTTTAAAATACTGTGTACTCATTATGGCCTTATTTTAATAACATTTATAAGTTGACTGTTCAATTTAAGTATAGCTGTGGGAGAAAAAATGGTAAACATGTTTGACCATCTAAAGCCCTGAGTTTATTTGAATTGTGAATTGTTAAGGTCGTATATGAGAATCTGAGTATGAGGGAATAGAGGTAAAGTTAGTTTTATGAACCAAATTATGCTTTGACACAACATTTTCTATGGTAAAGTTATAAGAATGAGGATTGGTTGCCTGATAATATGATGTGTGCTGTTTTGTTTATATTAGTTTATTACTCCATGAGTGAACATGAGTAATTTTTCTAAGAATAAGTATAAATTTGTTTTTAAATTTATATTTACAAACTCTAATACAGTATTCACATGACTAGAAATTGGAAATGTTTTACAGATAGCCCACATAATCCAGAAACAAATCAGAACACTTTAGTCCAGCCATCTATAGTTTCTGTACATTCCAGTGATTGCAAATGCATTTTTATTGTTGTTGTTTTTTCATCTCAAATGCTGGAGTACATTGTCCTATTATTTATGACTGTACTTTTTCATTGAAAGCTGTGTTAGTAGAAAAAAAAGTTTTAACTCCCTTTTTTTAAGAATAAATAAAATTTCTCTTATTAGTTAAAAAAATTCTTGCAAACTTCCTATCTTCTATTATTATAATTATAGCAGTTACTACTACACAAATGGTTACTTCTTCATCAGAGAAGACTTGCATTATTTTCTTGTTTTTTGTATCTTTAGTATCTGAATATTGTAGAAAGAAACACCTGAAAGCAATTAAAAGTGACTTGGAAACTACTTATCTAATTTAATGACTTCAAAGTTGAACACTTACCTCAGCCTGAGAGAGAAAACTTGAAACCAAAATGACAGAAGTTGGCCAGGCAAAATTTCTGTACATAGGAGACACTGTATCTATGTATGCTGAAGGAAGTGTTATGGGTTTTCTAAGCACTTTAGGGTAAGTGTCTCTGAAAATGTGAAATTTTTATGGCAAATAATGATTGGAGAGAATGAAGTTTTACTATGCATATACACATTTTCCTCAACAAAGCAGAGGGATTGGATATATGGACATAATCTATTGGTTAACAACTATAAAATTAAAGATAAGTAATAAAAGAATATGCTCTTACCATAATCAGATTACAGAGAGAAGTAATGGGCCTTGTCCTTTTTTTTTTCTTTCTCCAATCTAAAATAGTTTTCTTTAATAAACTTTCGTGTTGTATTAGTTCATTATGATGTATTTATTCTGGTGTTTTATGAAAATACACAGTTTTTAACACTCTAACATCAAAGAAAGAAATACATAAAATTATGTGATATATTTTGGGTATTTAAATGGGTAAACTCAAAATTAGGTCAAAGCAACAATTCGTGAATGCCATTTTAATGTGCTTAGACTTTTTTGAAAATATATTGTCTGCCTTAAATTAAAAATCATAAATCTATCAGAAAAATAGTTGATAAAGCTCCAAACAACTTCAGGAGGTTATTGTAACAGATTTAAACTTTATTATTCCACTTTTTATCCCTTCAGCTGGAACTGTTTTGTCACAACATTGCAGTGTGTGTGTACTTTTTGCCAAAGTTTTTGAATATCCGTCACACTAAACTGTTTTATCATTTGAGGTTCATATGTTTCTCACTAAACAAGATTGAACAATTTTTTGCTTGTTTTAAGTTCATCCAGTAATAAGGTAAAGGTTTTCAAAAAAATTGCAATAAAATGGTTTAAAAACAAATGGTAAATTGAAATAATGTGATTATATTAGTTTGGTTGCATTTCTTTCATTTCTCTTTTTCTTAGACTAGTTGATGACAGATGCGTTGTGAACCCAAGTGGTGGTGATTTAGAAAATCCTCCCAAAAAATTTCGAGGTGAGCCATATATTAAAGATAATCCAAGTGCACATTTACAAAATCTATGTTAAAGAGAGAAGTGTTTTTAGTTTGTATATAAAATGTAAATCTGTCCCAATGTTCTGTATGTTGAGTAATTTAATTCTGTCACAAACTATCAAACTATGTAAAAACTTGTACATAACACTAGCTTCAGCATAAAGTTAAAATTAGAATTACCACTGGAGGTCCATATGGACCTCATTTGCTTGTTAAACACATCTTTCTAAACTTTTTATGCAATAAGTTGCTTTTGGGTCTTGTTGAATACATGATCTCTTATTATATATGACCCATACAAAAAAAAGGATTTAAATATACTTTCAATATTGCATTTAATCCCACTAATTACCGCTGAATTCCTATATGTGTTTTAAATTAAAAATTAATGATTGAACTAATATTTTTTTGCCCAGTACTCTACATTGAATGTTTTAACTGAAAAAATAAAGAAACATAAAATTTCTTGATTTGATGCATTATATGGAATTGACCAATAGTGAACAGTATGAAAAATAAGTTAATTTGAAGGTTAACAAACAACATTTCAGAGACAAAAAAAAAAAACATGGATGATTTGTGCTAGAAACTAGACAAATTATTTACTTCTTCTCTAAATGGGAGTTTACCATTTTTAAACAAAGATAAGCTATTAGTACTAGATTAGAAACAGTTAATAAGAATTTTAATTTCAAAGAATATAAAGTTTATGTATGGTGTCCGAAACTGTGATTCACAAAAATAGTTGATAAATTGTCTTTTTTATTGCATACTTTCTTTTATAAACTTTTTCTATGAATACTTTTATTATATTTGTAAAAAGCAGTATTACTTTTTTTTTTGAAATACATTTTACAATGATTCTGATATTTAATTTGGAAATTTCATCACACTTGAATACTTCATTTTGGAGAAAATCAGTTGATTCCAATCTCAAATTTCATTCAAGCAGTAGAGCTTGGGCAGTTCGTGGAATTTTCTGTTTTATTAATCATCAGGCTCATTAATCAATTACATTTTCAACTAATCAATTATTCTCACAATATGGCCAAAAAATAATCTAAGTCATTATTCACATGAGATGGTGGCTAAGAAAAAAATAAAAATGCCAAAAAATTGGGTTTTGAATAGTTGAATGTTTTTATTACATTAATCATAATTTTGTATAATACAATATGGTGAATGCAGTATTAATCAGAAACACTAATTTTGATTAATTCATTATTTTTATTACTTTAATCAATTTATATGTAATTTTGGGTTACTGGATAGTTGGAATAATCAAAAATAGTAATAATCAGAAACACTAATTTTGATTAATTCATTATTTTTATGACTTTAATCAATTTATATGTAATTTTGGGTTACTGGATAGTTGGAATAATCAAAACTAGTAATATTCAGAAACACAGGTTGATTATTTTTGTGACATTAATTGACTTAATCATAATTTTGATTAACTGATTATTTTACATGACACTAATCAGTTCTTGAAGGTAATTGATTATCTTGATTAATTAATTATTCACCTAGCTGTACTAAGTACAATACATTTTTATAAATATTAAGATTTGAAATTTTCACATGCGTAAATAAATAATTAATTGATATACATGGGAGAATGGCTTATTTAAAACTGTTTTACACATTAAATATTTTACATAAAAAAAATTATAGTGGAGCAAATTTGATTGATAAAATGTACGTGAAAAATGTATTTAGCTGGCATGTGTTCCTAAAATTGAATGCATGATATTGTTCCATTCCATAAATCACCATTAGATGTTCCATGTGTAAATTATTGTAAAATTTAATATTTTTCAAAATGTAAAATATTTAAAGTGTAAAACATGTATATTAGTGAATTATTTATTTCTATGTATTTGTCTTCATTATTTAACTTTTATTTTATTACAGTATATTATTTTTATTTTTTGCCTTTTTTAAGCTTATTACAAGTCTGATTTTTATATACATTTGTAAAACTCTGTTATTCAGTTCTGAATTTTTGTTCTTCTGTATTCCCATTTGTGTCTTTGCTTCAGATTGTTTGTTTAAGATGTGCCCCATGAATCGGTATTCTGCTCAGAAACAGTTTTGGAAAGCAGCTAAACAGAGTACTACATCAACCACTGATGCTGTCTTATTGAAGAAGCTCCATGTAAGGAATTAGTTATATTATAACAGATTTTTAGAAGTGTGTTCAGGACATTAAAACAAACAAAAAATTTTTTACAAAACTATAACAGAAAATTAAAACTTATTATGGGTTTTTATAAAAGTGAGATTTTGCATATTAACTGAAAGACCAAATAATTTATTAATATATTGTCTTGAAAAAATAACATGAGTATATTTCAATGACTGTAACAAAGCACCCTGATATTGCTTATTAGCTAAAAATTTCTGTTCTTGAACAAGCAGCATAGATGATGGTACTTATTGAACAATCATTATTTTTTTCAGATAAACCTTGACCTTTTTGTTGTTATTCTTTAGTGTCAAGGGATTGTTAACCACTGACCAAGTGCAGAATAGTATCTAATTAGTTTAAGACATTAGTAGGAACCATGTGCCTGTAATAACAAAGTATGTTTACCAAATTTTCTTATATTTTCCTTCATATTTATATTATTAGTACTTCATTCAACTTGAAATTGCAGGGGATGCATCTCAGAAAGTAGCTCCGGATGCTAGAAATATCCTTCAAATCTTATCCAAACCTTGTAATGTACTTTTTAAATAGATACATGTTTTCATGTCTAGTATGTAAAAAATAACGTATCAGTGATTTAATTCTGACTTTTTGTAGGGCTTTGTTTTATTTGAGCTTATATGTGGTATGATCTGTAATACACATATTTTTTGTTATTTTCAGTCCATGGTATTATAGTCTTTTATTGGTGATATAAAATATCTTTAATGTTAAAGTGTGTTGATTACATTTGTGAGAAAGTATTAGAATGAAATGAAGTTTCTATAGATAGATAGCATAGTTATGAAGTATTATCTTGAAGCATACTTCTGGTTTTTATCTTTCAATTTTTTTTCCCTTGTTGCTTTTTAAAACCACCTAGAGCAAAAGACACTTCATATAACTCATATTCTATATAGTATCTTTATTTAAATTCAGAAATTGTTAAAAACAGTGTTTGTTGCACTTTTATTTAGCATGCAGCAGAACTGGAGAAAAAGCAAAATGAATCAGAAAATAAGAAGCTAGTTGGATCTAAGATCCAGTATGGTGGTGTAATTCAGGTAAATTTAAATAGGTTACTCTAAAGTTATTTAGCAAACTTTTGGTTAGATTATATTATGGTAGACTAATTAAAGCTAGTTAACTTACAGTATGTTAGAGTAATTAAAGCTAGTTAACTTGTGTTGTGGTAAAGTAATTCAGATAAGTTAACTTAGTGTTCTATCATACTGTAGGTTAAGTAATCTAAATAACACTACCATAATGTATCACATTACAAATACTCTTAATATTTCTTAAGCTTAGATATATTAGCAGCAAGAAGAAGTTTAAGATAAAAAGTTCAAGAGCAGTTAAGGGGTATATCACTGAGATTATGTGTAAGTTATTTAAGCAGTAAAAAGCAACTTAGAAAACCATGAAATATCTTTAGGCCAAAAGAAGTTCAACACTCAATACAAATAATTGTACGCTATTATTTACATTATCCAGAGAAAATTAAGAAGAGAGGCATGTTTCAGTGAACTTTCAAACGTTTTGACCATGGCAGCTTGAAACCCTACACTTATTGATGCCTTAGAAATGCATTTGACATCAATTTTACCTGGAAAGTTGACTACAGAAGAAACTATATAAAAAAAAAAATTGCACTCATTCAAGAGCAAAATAATTCCAAGTTCTCTTATGATAATTTTATTGATCACATATTTAATTTACAAAATCAGCTGTGTTTATGTGCAATAAGTTTCTTATCCTGAGTTACTGCTACAACTATCCAAATCTACAAAACCAACTATCATGAGAAAAACAGTAAATATCTTAATAAAGATGTTGCCTGCCAAATTCCTTGCACCTTTGGAAATATATGCATTTCTTAAATTGGAAACATTACAAGATCAACAACTCTACCATTGTTTAACAGGCCCTTGTTCTTCATATGATAAAGCAAAATTCTTAAATAAGGGAGCTGAAGGAGACCTACGTGTAAAAAGCATCAAATTTGCATTCAGCAGCAAACTTTGAATTAGGTATCAAGAGCCTTCTGACAACTTTGATCAACAGAAACAGCCTTAATTAAATATCTCTATCAGTGGTCTCACACCTAATCATATTCAACAGTCTTTTGTCCCAGTTATAAATAAGTAGGACTTCTGAACTTGTGAAGACAGTTGCAAGTATGCTGAAACTTAATTCAGTAGCTAACACTAACCGAAACAAACTTTTTTTCAAATCAAGTAAAGAAGGTTGGATGCATTTGAAACTACAATACTAATTATGGTATATAATGAAGTAATATGAACTATTGGAAAGACAGTTGGTCAGTTTTGGAGTAACTTAAAGACAAAATTAAAACTACTTGAAGTAAAGCATTAATAACTTCATTACAGAGCATAATACTGTTCTGCTGACGTCTTTTAGATTAACTGGAGAAGTGATACTTTTTATTCTGCGAAATTAGCAGAGTAAACCATAAAGCCTAATTTTTTTAGTTTTTCACTTTAAATTAAAAAATATGCTTTATGTTCTTAGAAAGTATAAATTAAGAAGTAGTTATTTATATGAATTTTTTTGTATGTAATATCAATAAGGCACCAATAATGTTAAGAATCTCAGTTTCTTAAAATTTGTAAGGGTTACTCTGTTTATTTATATCTTGAAATTTATGATGTTGTTATTTCTATGAAAATAAAAGTGTGAATTTTATTACATTTTTAACAGTGTATCTACTAAAGCAAAATGTCATGTCTATATAAACATTAATTTTTTTTAAACTTAGTATAAAACATATTATTACTTTAGTGTGAAACCACTGTTATTTATGATATTTAGCTTCTTCACATCAAAAGCAACAAATATCTGACGGTCAACAAACGGCTTCCAGCACTACTGGAGAAAAATGCCATGAGAGTTTATCTTGACTCTGCAGGAGATGAAGGATCATGGTTTTACATCGTTCCATTTTATAAACTTAGAACTACAGGTGACAATGTAGGTAGTGAAATAATACTGTACATGTTTTTAGAGTATATGGATTTTTAGTTATTTATTCATAGATGTTTGTTTAATGAGAATAAAACTAAAATACTGAACTTAAGACTTGTTATTATCCATAAGAAATAATGCTTGCCTATTTATTATTAGACGATTCAAGATTTCTCAAGTAATCTGAAATAATGATCTTGCAAAATCTTGAACTGTGTGTATACAGACTTAATCAGTATCTTTTTTTTTTTAAATCCAATCTTCACTAATAATGAGCTTCAATTTCATTACAAGTGAAGATTGACTGAATTTACATTATCTACATGAGTGTGGAACTATAGGAATGGGATGGAAAGAACAAATCAGTAGACTTGTAGTTGATAATAGCTCTGGCAAGAAATCTTCCTCAGAATGTTTGTGTGAAGCAAAAGTGGAAAGAATTTATAAAGTAATCACACAAACCTGTTTTATAAGCTTTCCTCTGTGTTGATATAAAGCAGACCGAATTTAATTTAGCATTCTTTTTTATCATTATCAGCTTCTTTTGTTAGGTATTGATTCATTAGTAATATCTTATTTTTTGAATTGTTCTTTCCTCAAAACCTACGAAATAAATTTACTTTCAAACTTTACATTTACCTTTCACTTTATGCATGTTTTATACAGAGATTCATATTAGTTTTATATAATAAGTGCATTATATCTGAAAGGTTCTTTTTTTATAATTTTTTTTCACTCGCATTTCTAAAGAAAATTCCACATGCTATAATTAAGAAATAGATAAAATTAATGGTGTTTATCACTTCCTCCTGTCTCTGTACATAATATTGTTCTGTAACTATTTTGTAGTTATTTTCTCTATAATGATCTGTACACAGTCAGGTGTGTGAGTGTCTCTCTTCCAAATTTTTTAGTTTTTGCTTCACGTACCTTCTCGAGAACAGTGAAGCAGTGATCTCAAATCTGACCTGTTTACCCAATTGATCTTTTTAAACATTATTACTTACATTCAATGAATAACTAAAATCATATTTGAAATCAGTTTCTACATGTTTGTTTGTTTTGAATTTTGTGCAAAGCTACACCAGGCCTATCAGCACTAGGCATCCCTAATTTAGCAGTGTAAGACTAGAAGGAAGGCAGCTAGTCATCACCACCCACC